GAGGAGGAGGGGCTGGAGGGGTTTTCAGTTTGGGGCTGGCTGGGACATGGAGTGAAGTGCAGACGTGGTTGTCTGGCTCACTGCCCCCCAAAATGGACCCAGCTGAGGGGTCCCGTTCTCTGCACCTGCAAGCTCTGTTTTAGACCATGTTCCTGTCGTCTAATAAACCTTCTGTTTTACTGGCTGGCTGAGAGTCACGTCTGACTGCGAAGTTGGGGTGCAGGACCCTCTGGCTTCCCCAGGAGCCCCGCCTGAGCGGACTCGCTGGGGGGAAGCACACGGAGGGGCAGAGGATGCTGAATGCTCCGAGGTCAGACCCAGGAAGGTGGAAGCTGTGTGAGCTGCGTGTCCTGAAGACAGGCTGCTCACAGAAAGGCGACTGCCCCAGAGTCCTGACTGGCTTCATGGGGAGCAGTTCCAGAGCATCGCCCAGGGACTCCGTGACAACTCCTCCATCCCTCCTTCCATCCCTCCATCCATCCATCCGTCCATCCCTCCCCGCCGGCGTCCTGCCGTCCCTCCCTCCCTCCATCCACTCGCCCCACACTCCTCCATCCCTCCTTCCCTCCTTCCATCCATCCATCCATCCATCCTTCCCCCCGGCATCCTGCCATCCCTCCCTCCCTCCCTCCATCCACTCGCCCCCACACTCCTCCATCCCTCCTTCCATCCATCCGTCCATCCATCCATCCATCCGTCCATCCCTCCCCCCCGGCGTCCTGCCGTCCCTCCCTCCCTCCATCCACTCGCCCCATACTCATCCATCCATCCATCCATCCATCCATCCCTCACCCTGGTGTCCCGCCGTCCCTCCCTCCCTCCATCCACTCACCCCACACTCCTCCATCCCTCCTTCCCTCCATCCCTCCATCCATCCCTCCCTCCCCCTGGCGTCCTGCCGTCCTTCCCTCTGTCCACTCACCCCACACTCCTCCATCCCTCCTTCCCTCCTTCCCTCCGTCCATCCATCCTTCCCCCCGGCATCCTGCCATCCCTCCCTCCCTCCATCCACTCACCCCACACTCCTCCATCCCTCCATCCATCCATCCATCCCTCCTCCTGGCGTCCTGCCATCCCTCCCTCTGTCCACTCACCCCACACTCCTCCATCCCTCCTTCCATCCGTCCATCCATCCATCCATCCATCCGTCCATCCCTCCCCCCGGTGTCCTGCCGTCCCTCCCTCCCTCCCTCCATTAACTCACCCCACACTCCTCCATCCCTCCTTCCATCCCTCCCTCCATCCATCCGTCCATCCCTCCCCCCCAGCGTCCTGCCGTCCCTCCCTCCCTCCATCCACTCGCCCCACACTCCTCCATCCCTCCTTCCATCCGTCCATCCTTCCCCCCGGCATCCTGCCATCCCTCCCTCCCTCCCTCCATCCCTCCATCCTTCACCCCGCTGTCCCGCCGTTCATCCCTCCCTCCATCCACTCAGCCCCACACTCCTCCATCCCTCCTTCCCTCCCTCACCCCAGGGTCCCGCCGTCCCTCCCTCCCTCCCTCAACCCCGCACTCCTCCCCCTCTATCTGTTCAGCTGCTCCCCACCTGAGCCACCTGGCTGGGGCCGGGCGCCGAGGTGACCCCCCCGCCCCCCGCAACCCGGCGGGTCCCACGAGCAGAGGCCTGGGTGGTGTGGAGCCTGGGGGGGGGGGAGGAAACCTGGGGGGTCGACACCCGCTGGGTCCCGGGGCTGGGTTTGCAGCCGCTCGCGGGCCAGCGCCCCCCACGGGTGCTCCGGCTGCGGGGGTGTCACGGAGTCCCCGGGCGATGCTCTGGAACTGCTCCCCATGAAGCCAGTCAGGACTCTGGGGTAGTCGCCTTTCTGTGAGCAGCCTGTCTTCAGGACACACAGCTCACCCGGCTTCCACCTTCCTGGGTCTGACCTTGGAGCATTCAGCATCCTCTGCCCCTCCGTGCGCTTCCCACAGCGAGTCCGCTCAGGCGGGGTCCTGGGGAAGCCAGAGGGTCCTGCCCCCCAACTCCGCAGTCAGACGTGACTCTCAGCCAGCCAGTAACACAGAAGGTTTATTAGACGACAGGAACATGGTCTAACACAGAGCTTGCAGGTGCAGAGAACGGGACCCCTCAGCTGGGTCCATTTTGGGGGGTAGTGAGCCAGACAACCACGTCTGCACTTCACTCCATGTCCCAGCCAGCCCCAAACTGAAACTCTCCCCAGCCCCCCTGCTCTGGGCTTTGTCCCTTTCCCGGGCCAGGAGGTCACCTGATTCCTTTGTTCTCCAACCCTTTAGCTCTCACCTTGCAGGGGGGGAAGGGCCCAGGCCATCAGTGGCCAGGAAACAGGGTGTCGGCCATTCTCTGTGTCCAGACTCCTGCACACACATGCCCTCTAGGGCTCTGCAATGATCATACACCCTTACCCCACCCCCTAGATACTTAAGAACTGCCTAGGGGAAACTGAGGCACCCCCACACTATTCAGAGGAAACATTAAGAACAGTCCCACTTCGTCACAGGGGGGGCGGGCGTCAGGTGGGCCAATCCCTAGATCGCACCGTCAGCCGGGCCCCCCCGCGATCCCCGCCCCAGGGCCAGGTAACGAGAACCAGGGCCCGGGAGCCGGGAAGCCGGGAAGCCGGGGCCCTGGTTGGCCGCAGCGACAGCAGCTGGCCGCTCGGGCGACAAACCGGGGAGATTCGGGGAGCCGGGGCGAGGGTCCGACCGGGCAAGGGGCCGAGGGCCGGCCCCCGCCCCAGGATTGTCAGGGCGTCTCCGGCCCTTCCAGGAGCAGCTTCGGCTCTCGATCACGGCGCGGGACGAAAGCGTCCAGCCAGCCCCGGCGAGGAACCGAAAGTGGAAAACGCTGTAAAAACCCCGGGGAGGTTTCCAAAGAGCCCCCCGGCGAGATTCGCTCCCGAGGCCCAGAAAGATGGGGCTGGCGGGAGGAGAGCTGCCCTCAGGCCCTGGAGATGGGGGGGCGGGGGGGTGCTCCAGAGGGGGGAGGAAGCCCTGGGATCCCCCCCGGGATTACGGAAGCTGAGGGGGGGTCACTTGCTGCCCCGGGGGGCGAAGGATGCTTGGGAAGCCGAGGGGGGGCCCACGCACTGGAGCTGGGCAGGGACGGGAAGGGGGCCGGGCACCAGAGGGTCCGGTGGGCCACTGGGGTACGGTACAGTGACCTGCTGGGGGGGGAGTGGAGTCACAAAGAGGGATCCCCCCCTGAGTCCCGGGGGTGGGGGGCAGCGCCGGGAAGGGGCACCTAAGAGCTCACGCTCAGCCACAAGGGGGCGCTGGGGCGGAGGAGGGTGTTATTTACCCCCTCTCATCACCCAGGAGCTAGGGGTCACCCAACGAACTCCATCCGCAGCGGGTTTAACACAAACACAAGGAAGTATTTCTTCACCCGATGCACAGTTAACCTGTGGAACTCCTTGCCAGGGGATGTTGTGAAGGCCAAGACTAGAACAGGGTTCAAAAAGGAACTAGGTAGGTTCATGGAGGATTGGGGTCCATCACTGGCTATTAGCCAGGATGGGCAGGGATGGTGGCCCTGGCCTCTGTTTGCCAGACGCTGGGAATGGGCAACAGGGGATGGATCCCTCGAAAACTGCCCTGCTCTGTTCATTGCCTCTGGGGCAACTGGCATTGGCCGCTGTCAGCAGACAGGACATTGGGCTAGATGGACCCTTGGTCTGACCCAGTCTGGCCCTTCTTATGTTCTTATGCCTGCCCTCGGCACCTTGCTGAGGAGGTCGGCGTCGTTGCACTGGTGGGGAAACTGAGGCACGGAAGGGCGGAGAACCGAGGTGTCCGGGTATGTGTGTCCCCCAAACTAAAGCACTCTCCATTAGGATTACCTTAATCTTGTCAGAGCTGGGGGCTGTCCCAGCCCAGGGGAGCCCTGCCCCCTTTTGGGGGGGGTGTCCCAGTCAGGGAGCCCCTCCCTCCCATTTAGGGGGGGTGTCCTACCTTTAGGGAGCCCCACCCACTTGGGAGGTGTGTCCCAGCTGAGCCAGTCAGATCCAACCCCCTCTTTACAAGCCCCTCCCCCAATCTCCCCCAAACGCCCCTCGCTATTTGTGGGGTGCGAGCGGGGGGGGAGGGCATTTGAACCCTTCAGGCGCAGAGAAACGAGCATGAAAACACCATGGCGACCAGTCACAAGTCCTGCTTTAATTCATTGATAGGCCATAAATAAATACATTTGTGGGGGGGCCGAGAGGGGACCCGGGGCCACCCCCCCAGCTGCCCCCCCATCATAAATAAATAAATTACAACCCATCCCCCTAAATAAATAGCTTTGCCTTTCGCTCCCCCCCAGCCTCGTCCCCCATTTCTGCATGGGGTCGCCCCGATCCGCAGCCCCTCTGCTGGGAGTGGAGCCTAGAGTCTGTGCACCCCCAGGAAGCCAGAGGCGTACCCCTGTAACTTTTGGGGGGGCACCTGCTCCCTGAAAACTCCCAGGCAGGTCTCCTGTCAGTGGTGCTGCCCCACCTCCAAGAGTGGGTGCTTTGGATGAAAACACATTTTTGGGGTACCATGGGGGGGCCAAAAAAGCTGAACCCCCAGAAGTTCTCTCTTTAACAATGTGTGTGGGGTGTTGCATTCACACACCCCCCCCCCGCAAATCCAGGAGGACATTATGACCACCTAGCAGGGGGCACCCTTATAATTTGGGTGTGTCTATTCTCTGAACCCCCAAAATATCTCTGAGTTTTCCCCAATCAGTGACACTGTGGCCCCACTTTTGAAGGGGAACAGCTGCAAGAAAATAGCGAGTGCCCCCAAATCTCACCTACACCCCAAATCTCAGTTCCACCACTTAATTAAATCAAAAGGGACCCCAATAAAATTGGGGTGTCTAATCCTGACCGCCTCCAAAAACTTCCACTGGGGGGTGGGGTTAGTACAGTCCCCCCCACATGGCAGAGCAGCCTAGAAACTAAAATCAAGGGTCACCCCGATAATTTAGGGGTACAGCTGACCGACCCAAAACATTCTGAGGATTCCCCATTAATAGTACTGTTAGTAAAATCCTCCCAAATCCTAGTGCACCCAGAACATTAAATGGGGGGGAGTGTATGTGTGCAGAAATTTGGGGGTACATTAACTGGAACCCCCACAATATTTTGAGCATCCTCTTAAACCCCGTGGCTGTTCTTACACCTCCAACCCCACATTGAAGAGCACTGATCCCAGGGGTGCCCCATCAATAAGTGCACCCCAATAATTTTGGGGTACAGTAAAGTGAAACCCTTCAAATCTTTCAAAGACCCCCGCCCGTGCACTGGCCCAGCAGCTCCAGACCACCCTCAGTGCAGAAGGGGGACCCCACCCCAAAAAAACAGCACGAGCGTCCCACCAGGTCAGAGGGCAAACGCTCCGAACGACAAAGTGCCCTGGCCCGCCAGCAGATGCGCCTCCCCCTCCGTCTGCGTGGACAGCCGGTCCCCCTGCTGCAGGGCAAAGGCTGCCCCCTGGCGGAGGGACCGGTACCAGGGGGCCCTCCCGGGGCAGGCCGTTTTGTGGGCGCTCAAGATGGGGACGTCTTGGGGGTAGGTGTTGGAGAAGAGCAACACGCGGTGGGCCAGGATCAGGGGCTCGTCCCCCGCGGGGCAGGCGGCCCCCAGGAAGGACGCCTGGAAGTAGACGAAATACATCCCCGAGGCCGGCACCACCAGTGAGTCGTTGGCCAGGCGGAAGCCGCCCTGGGTGAAGGAGGCGTCGACGTCGCTTCGCCAGCGGAGCCGCTCGCCGGAACTGCTGGGGTGGCCTGTTGGGAGAGGGTAGAGAAAGGAGAGGTGAGTTTCAAACCAACGGCTGAAGGGTTCACCCGCCTGGCGGGTGGATCAGGCCGCAAACAGCTGAGAAAAAACAGACATGGGGGAAACATTGTTTCTACCACTGTTCTAACAGGCACCTGCAGTGCGGTTCACTTCCGGCCTCTGCCAGCAGAGGGCATCGGAGAGGGGCCCTCCCAGGGGCATAGAGAAATGCAGGGAGCGTCCCCCAAGTCCAGCGACTCACCTATAAGATGGGCTGCGGGCGAGTGGGTCCGGCCGGCGTGTTGCCCCAAGGAGATCCAGGAGGCAGCTGTTGGGAAAGACAGAGACGGTTCATTGCCATGGCCAAGGACAGACTCAGGGGGCGGGGTGGGGGGCAGAGCCGGACTCCTGGGTTCCCTGGAATGGATTCCAGACAAGAGTCCATTTTGGGGTTGGGCTGGGGGGAGCAGGTGTGTGTGTGGGGAGTTACTTACCGGCGTCTTCAGAGCCTCTGACCCCCCCTCCAGCCTCATCTTCCGTCTGTAAATGAGGGGTGAATGCCATGATGAAGCTCTGCCGGTGCTCCTCACTCCCGACCCGCAGCTCCCTGCCAGCCCAGCCCTGCCCGCCCCAGCTCTGCCGGTGCCCCTCACTCCCGACCTGCAGCCCCCTGCCAGCCCAGCCCTGCCCGCCCCAGCTCTGCCGGTGTCCCTCACTCCCGACTCGCAGCCCCCTGCCAGCCCAGCCCTGCCCGCCCCAGCCCTGCCGGTGCCCCTCACTCCCGACCTGCAGCCCCCTGCCAGCCCAGCCCTGCCCGCCCCAGCTCTGCCGGTGTCCCTCACTCCCGACTCGCAGCCCCCTGCCAGCCCAGCCCTGCCCGCCCCAGCCCTGCCGGTGCCCCTCACTCCCGACCTGCAGCCCCCTGCCAGCCCGGCCCTGCCCACCGCAGCCCTGCCGGTGCCCCTCACTCCCGACCCGCAGCCCCCTGCCAGCCCAGCCCTGCCGGTGCCCCTCACTCCCGACCTGCAGCCCCCTGCCAGCCCGGCCCTGCCCCCCCTTACCTTTCTCTGGAAGTACCCGTACAGCACTGTGCCCAACAGCGCCCCCAGCAGGAGAAAGCAGGTGCCGCGAAGCAGATGCCAGCAGAGATCCCTGCGGCTCTTGGGCCCCAGCTCTAGCAGGAGGGGCCCGGCCCGCTCTGGCTCGGGCTCCATGGGTGGGGGGCTGAGCCGGGAGGCTGAGGGGGCTGGCGGGGAGAGCGGAGCCGGGAGAGCTTGTGGCGGAGGCGAGGCGGCTGGAGGAGCCTGTGGCGAGGCCACTGCCTGGCTCAGCCTCTTTATAGGGGAAGGAGGCCTCAGGCGAGCTGAGGTCAGCGGGGGAACCCCGGCGTTCGGGGAAGAGGCGCGGATGTGACCTCGCATGTGAGACAGAAACAGAGAGACTGATTCACGTCCTCCAGCTGGCAGGGGCCCCAGGGCTCACACAGACAGAAAGACAGACAGACAGATGGGGCATGTCTGTGGATAGATAGATGGATGGATGGATGGATGGAGGGGGGGGATGGATGGATGGGTAGGTAGAGGTGGTGTCTGGGGATGGATAGATGGATAGATGGATGGATGGAGTGGGTGTGTGTGGATAGATAGATAGATAGATAGATAGAGGGTGTGTGTGGGGATAGACAGATGGATGAATGGATGGAGGGTGTGGATGGATGGAGGGGATGCATGGATGGATGGATGAATGGATGGATGGATGGAGGGGGTGTTTGGGGATGGATGGATGGATGGAGGGGATGGATGGATGAATGGATGGATAGATGGATGGGAAGGTAGAGGGGGTGTCTGGGGATGGATGGATGGATGGATGGATGTGGGGGGTGGATGGATGGATGGGTAGGTAGAGGAGATGTCTGGGATGGCTAGATGGACAGATGGAGGGGGTGGATGGATGGAGGGGGTGTGTGGGGATGGATGGATGGATGGATGGATGGATGGAGGGGGTGTCTGGGGATAGATGGACGGACGGATGGAGGGGGTGGATGGATGGATGGGTAGGTAGAGGGGATGTCTGGGATGGCTAGATGGACGGATGGAGGGGATGGATGGATGGATGGGTAGGTAGAGGGGATGTCTGGGATGGCTAGATGGATGGATGGAGGGGGTGTGTGGGGATGGATGGATGGATGGATGGGATGGATGGATGGATGGATGGAGGGGGTGTGTGGGGATGGATGGAGGGGATGGATGGATGGATGGATGGAGGGGGTGTGTGGGGATGGATGGATGGATGGATGGATGGATGGATGGAGGGGGTGTCTGGGGATAGATGGATGGAGGGATGTGGGGGGTGGATGGATGGATGGGTAGGTAGAGGGGATGTCTGGGATGGCTAGATGGACAGATGGAGGGGATGGATGGATGAATGGATGGATAGATGGATGGGTAGGTAGAGGGGGTGTCTGGGGATAGATGGATGGAGGGATGTGGGGGGTGGATGGATGGATGGGTAGGTAGAGGGGATGTCTGGGATGGCTAGATGGACAGATGGAGGGGGTGGATGGATGGAGGGGGTGTGTGGGGATGGATGGATGGGATGGATGGATGGATGGATGGAGGGGGTGTCTGGGGATAGATGGATGGATGGATGGAGGGGTGGATGGATGGATGGGTAGGTAGAGGGGATGTCTGGGATGGCTAGATGGACGGATGGATGGATGGATGGATGGATGGAGGGGGTGTGTGGGGATGGATGGAGGGGATGGATGGATGAATGGATGGATAGATGGATGGGTAGGTAGAGGGGGTGTCTGGGGATGGATGGATGGATGGATGTGGGGGGTGGATGGATGGATGGGTAGGTAGAGGGGATGTCTGGGATGGCTAGATGGACAGATGGAGGGGGTGGATGGATGGAGGGGTGTGTGGGGATGGATGGATGGATGGATGGATGGATGGAGGGGGTGTCTGGGGATAGATGGATGGATGGATGTGGGGGGTGGGTGGATGGATGGGTAGGGAGAGGGGATGTCTGGGATGGCTAGATGGACGGATGGAGGGGGTGGATGGATGGAGGGGGTGTGGGGGATGGATGGATGGATGGATGGATGGATGGAGGGGGTGTCTGGGGATAGATGGATGGATGGATGTGGGGGGTGGGTGGATGGATGGGTAGGTAGAGGAGATGTCTGGGATGGCTAGATGGACGGATGGAGGGGGTGGATGGATGGATGGGTAGGGAGAGGGGATGTCTGGGATGGCTAGATGGACGGATGGAGGGGGTGGATGGATGGATGGGTAGGTAGAGAGGGGGTCTGGGGATGGATGGATGGATAGATGGAGGGGGTGTCTGGGGATAGATGGATGGATGGATGTGGGGGGTGGATGGATGGATGGGTAGGTAGAGGGGATGTCTGGGATGGCTAGATGGACAGATGGAGGGGGTGGATGGATGGAGGGGGTGTGTGGGGATGGATGGATGGATGGATGGATGGATGGATGGAGGGGTTGTCTGGGGATAGATGGATGGATGGATGTGGGGGGTGGGTGGATGGATGGGTAGGGAGAGGGGATGTCTGGGATGGCTAGATGGACGGATGGAGGGGGTGGATGGATGGATGGATGGATGGGTAGGTAGAGAGGGGGTCTGGGGATGGATGGGTAGTTAGATGTGTGTGGGGATAAATAGATTTCTAATCCATGCAGCCTATTACAAGCTCTGGGAGGAGCGTGGGGCGTAGGGGTGAGAGCAGGGGGATGGGAGCCAGGACTCCTGGGTTCTCTCACTGGCTCGGGGAGGGAAGGGAAGGGGCGGGGGTGACCGTGCAGCGAGGGAGCTGCCTGACCTCCTGTCTGGGGGAAGCCCTGTTTCCCCTTTCGTTTGGTCCCAGACTTCCATGCCCCAATCCGCGAGTGTCCGGAAATCGGCAGGTGGTGCCAGGACAGCCACTGCCCAGGGCTGGCCCCCCGGCAGCCCGTGCCCGAGACGCGGGTTGCACGGCCCAGCTGGGGAGATGCAGCCGCTCCCACTGTGCATTCTTTGCGGGCTCAGACCCCCTTGCTCCCTTTGGGGTGTCGGGACCCCATTGTCACAAGGGGGCCTAGGGATCATTAAACCCCAGCTGGGGCTGGGTCTTGGGGCTCCCTGTATAACTAGTCCCTGTGGCCCACCCCAGAGCCAGCTGCATCTCAGCACTGGGTGAGGGGTCCCTGGGTAACCAGCCCCCGCGCCCCACCCCAGAGCCAGCCGCAGCTCAGTGCAGGGCCAGGGGTCTCGTAGACTCATAGATATTAAGGTTGGAAGGGACCATTATGATCATCTAGTCCGACCCCCTGCACAACGCAGGCCACCGAATCTCACCCACCCACTCCTGCGATAAACCTCTCACCTCTGTCTGAGCTACTGAAGTCCTCAACTCCTGGTTTAAAGACTTCAGGGAGCAGAGACTCCTCCAGCAAGTGACCCGTGCCCCACGCTGCAGAGGAAGGTGAAAAACCCCCAGGGCCTCTTCCAATCTGCCCTGGGGAAAATTCCTTCCCGACCCCACATATGGTGATCAGCTAAACCCTGAGTATGTGGGCAAGTCTCACCGGCCGGACACCCAGGAACGAATTCTCTGTCGCAACGTGGATCCCACCCCATCGAGCATCCCATCACAGGCCACTGGGCCTATTAACCATGAATGGTTAAAGATCAATTAATTGCCAAAATCATGTTATGCCATCATACCATCTCCTCCATAAACTTATCGAGTTTAATCCTGAAGCCAGATAGGTCTTTTGCCCCCACTGCTTCCCTTGGAAGGCTGTTCCAGAATTTCACTCCTCTGATGGTTAGAAACCGTCGTCTAATTTCAAGTCTAAACTTCCCGATGGCCAGTTTATATCCATTTGTTCTTGTGTCCACATTGGTACTGAGCTTAAATAATTCCTCTCCCTCTCTGGTATTTATCCCTCTGATACATTTGTAGAGAGCAATCCTATCTCCCCTCAGCCTTCTTTGGGTTAGGCTAAACAAGCCAAGCTCGAGTCTCCTTTCATAAGACAGGTTTTCCATGCCCCGGATCATCCTAGTAGCCCTTCTCTGTACCTAGTCCAGGTTGAATTCATCCTTCTCCAACATGGGGGACCAGAACGGCACCCACTATTCCAGGGGAGGTCTCACCAGTGCCGTGTATAACGGTGCTAACCCTCCTTATCTCGGCTGGAAACACCTCGCCGGATGCCTCCTAAAACCGCATTGGCTTTTTCAACGGCCACATCACGTTGGCGGCTCGTAGGCATCCTGTGGTCAACCAATACTCCGAGGCCCTTCTCCTCCTCTGTTACTTCCAAGTGATGCCTCCCCAGCTTATAACTAAAATTCTTGTTATTCATCCCTAAATGCCCGGCCTCGCACTTCTCACTATTCCTATTCCTGTTCCTCCGGTGTACAAGGTCATCCAGGTCCTCCTGTAGGATGTCCCGGTCTCTCTCTAAATTGGCAATACCTCCCGGCTTTGTCATCCGCAAACTTTATTAGCACACTCCCGCTTTTTGTGCCGAGGTCAGTAACCAAAAGATTAAATAAGATTGGTCCCAAAACCGATCCCTGAGGAACTCCACTGGTAACCTCCCTCCAGCCTGACAGTTCACCCTTCAGTGTGACGCGCCGTCGTCTCCCCTTTAACCAGTTCCTTCTCCACCTTTCAGTGTTCATACTGATCCCCAACTTTTCCAATTTAGCTAATAATTCCCCATGTGGCACCGTATCAGACGCCTTCCTGAAATCGAGGTGAATTAGATCTACTGCGTAACCAGCCCCCGCGCCCCGCCCCGGAGCCGGCCCCAGCTCCGTGCAGGGCCAGGGGTCCCCGGGTAACCGGCCCCCGCGCCCCGCCCCGGAGCCGGCCCCAGCTCCGTGCAGGGCCAGGGGTCCCCGGGTAACCGGCCCCCGCGCCCCGCCCCGGAGCCGGCCCCAGCTCCGTGCAGGGCCAGGGGTCCCCGGTTAACCGGCCCCCGCGCCCCGCCCCGGAGCCGGCCCCAGCTCCGTGCAGGGCCAGGGGTCCCCGGGTAACCGGCCCCCGCGCCCCGCCCCGGAGCCGGCCCCAGCTCCGTGCAGGGCCAGGGGTCCCCGGGAACCGGCCCCGCGCCCCGCCCCGGAGCCGGCCCCAGCTCCGTGCAGGGCCAGGGGTCCCCGGGAACCGGCCCCCGCGCCCGCCCCCGAGCCGGCCCCAGCTCCGTGCAGGGCCAGGGGTCCCCGGGACCGGCCCCCGCCCCCCGCCCCGGAGCCGGCCCCAGCTCCGTGCAGGGCCAGGGGTCCCCGGTTAACCGGCCCCCGCGCCCCGCCCGGAGCCGGCCCCAGCTCCGTGCAGGGCCAGGGGTCCCCGGGTAACCGGCCCCCGCGCCCCGCCCCGGAGCCGGCCCCAGCTCCGTGCAGGGCC